GGTACCTCTGCATCTGACCAAGTTTAAAGGAGGAAAGTATCTCACTCCTACACGTCCAAGCCCTGTTCCTACATGAGGTGCCGTGCACTAGGAACTCAGTAAAAGTTGCAACGTGAGTAGAGGAAGCAGAAACATAATGGAGTTTAGAGGGATAGGAGTGGTATTTGCAGGCTGTTAAAAAGTCTGTTCAGAATGTGCTGAAGATATTTTCTGTAGTTGATATTACTGAAGAGAGAGAGAAAGAGAGAAGGAGAGAGAGAGAGAGAGAGAGAGAGAGAGAGTCACAGAGGGAGAGACAGAGAATGACATTATTATGACATTATTTTATCCTGGTCCTCATATTTGTTCTGTATCCTTCCTCCGAATATGTGTTTGTATAAAGAAGGTGTCTCAGACTGTGGCTGCTTGGATGCTACTGAAACCAGACAGTGGAGTGTTGACTCCAGCGTGAGTCCAGAAAAGAAGCAGCCTTTAAGGTTCAGGGTCTCAAACACCCAGGGATGCAGTCATATCTGCACATCTGGCATCTCAGACACACCCGGGCACTCCCACGACTCACACAAATTAATGCAGTAAAACAGACACACACACACACACACACACACACACACACATCCTGAAGTTTCTTTTTTACAATTGTGGCAGCAGAATTCTGTCAGCAGAATTGCTTAAAGGGAAGTGGAATTGAAATCCAAAAGCTGGAGTTGAAGAGTCAACCAAAGAAAGGGGCATCTGTGCATGCCCTACCATGATGCACTGGGGTCCTGTGGAAGCTGTACACCTAGGACTTAAACCATGTTATGTTACTATTATACCCAGCAACTGACCATTTCATTGTCAGCCATCTCTTAATGCACAACAGAAGAAAATATGGGATAACTGAAGCTTAATACTCTCAGGATTCAGCCTTAGCTGTGGTCTTGCCCCCTGGAGCAAGTTGCCTTTACATCCCATGGCACCTCTTTTTCTATTTCCTTGATGGGAAGCTATCTGCCTTCTAGAACATTAACATCT